TTTTCCCCCCGCCATTTTTGTTTCCCTCTGTTTTTTCCTTTCCCGCCCTTTTTTCCCCTCATCATTTTTCTCCCCTCACGATTTTTCCCCCACCATTTTTGTTTCCCTCTGTTTTTTCCTTTCCTGCCCTTTTTCCTGCCATTTTTCCCTCATGATTTTTCCCCCACTATTTTTGTTTCCCTCCATTTTTTCCCTTCCCTATCTTCCTGCCCTTTTTTCCTTTCCCTCACCATTTTTTTCCCGCATGATTTTTCCCCCACCATTTTTGTTTCCCTCTGTTTTTTCCTTTCTCGCCCTTTTTCCCTCACCATTTTTCTCCCCTCACGATTTTCGCCCCGCCATTTTTGTTTCCCTCTGTTTTTTCCCCTCCTCTTTTTCCCTTCCCGCTCTTTTTTCCCGCCATTTTCCCCTCATGATTTTTTCCCTGCCATTTTTGTTTCCCTCTGTTTTTTCCCTTCCCTTTTTTCCTTTCCCTCACTATTTTTTCCCCTCACGATTTTTTTCCCCTGCCATTTTTGTTTCCCTGTTTTTTCTTTTCCCGCCTTTTCCCCCTCACCATTGCCATTTTTCCCCTCACGATTTTCCCCCACCATTTTTGTTTCCCTCTACTTTTCCCATTCCCTATTTTCCTGCCCTTTTTCCCTTTCCCTCCCCATTTTTTCCCTGCCATTTTTGTTTCCCTCTGTTTTTCCCCTTCCCTTTTTTCCTTTCCCTGCCCATTTTTTCCCTCACGACTTTTTTCCCCTGCCATTTTTGTTTCCCTGTTTTTTCTTTTCCTGCCCTTTTCTCCTCACCATTGCCATTTTTCCCCTCATGATTTTCCCCCACCATTTTTGTTTCCCTCTACTTTTTCCATTCCCTATTTTCCTGCCCTTTTTCCCTTTTCTTCCCCATTTTGCCCCACCATTTTTGTTTCCCTCTGTTTTCCCCTTCCCTTTTTTCCTTTCCCTCACGATTTTTTCCCTCACGATTTTTTCCCTCACGATTTTTTCCCTCACGATTTTTTCCCCCGCCGTTTTTGTTTCCCTGTTTTTTCTTTTCCCGCCCTTTCCCCCTCACCATTGCCATTTTTCCCTCACGATTTTCCCCCACCATTTTTGTTTCCCTCTGCTTTTTCCATTCCCTGTTTTCCTGCCTTTTTTTCCTTTTCCTCCCCATTTTTTCCCTGCCATTTTTGTTTCCCTCTGTTTTTCCCTGCCCATTTTTTTCCCTTTTCCCTGCCCATTTTTTTCCCTTTTCCCTGCCCATTTTTTTCCCCTTTTCCCTGCCCATTTTTTTCCCCTTTTCCCTGCCCATTTTTTTCCCCTTTTCCCTGCCCATTTTTTCCCCTTTTCCCTGCCCATTTTTTTCCCCTTTCCCCTCCTCTTTTTTCTTTTCCCGCCCTTTTCCCCACAACTTCCCTGGAAATCCTTTGCCTTGATTTTCTAGGAATATCCCCAATCCTTTAAAACACTTTGGATTGAATGGGAAAGAACCCAGAATNCCTTCTCCATGGTGGGACACCTTCTCCATGGTGGGACACCTTCTCCATGGTTTTTTTCCCCGGCAGGAGAGCGCTTGAAAGGGCAGGAGGGGGAGCTGGCGTCGGCTGTGGGATCAGCAAAGCAGGAGGGAAGCGACTCCGACTGAGGAGAATCCATCAGGAACGGGCTCTGGAGCTGCCTGGCACCGACCCTGCGTCCCTCAGTCCCTCCCTGCTCATCCCTCTTCCCAAACTTCCCCAAATCCTGCTGTGCCTGGAGGAGAGGCAGATCCAAGGAGCCTGGCTGGCTGCTGAGGAACTTCCATGGAAAACTTTCTGGGATTTGGGGGGGTTGATGGGAGCAGGACAGATCCCCCCAATTAGCTGGAACTTCCTTGGAGCAAGGAGAAGTGGGAAAACTCCAGGCTGGGGCTGGAAAGGTCAATCCAGACTGGCTGGGAAAGGAGGGGGATGCCAGCAGCCCTTGGAAAAGCAGGATCATTTCCCAGGGATTGGTGCTCCTGTTCCTGTGCAGACACTCCTTGAGGCTCTGAGTGTTTGGGAATATCCATGGCCAGTCTTGGAATTCCTCTGGGAAGGGGCAGTGTGGCTCGGGAATCGTTGGCTGCTCTGCATCCAGCTGAGTTTAATGTGGGATTTGCTTTGCTCCCGAATTTCCTGACCCTCCAGGAGTGTGTCCTGCTCCTCCTGGAGGTTTTTTATTGTTAATGGATCTTTTCCTAATAAAACAATTCCATGTGGAAAAAGTTGTCACTTGTCCTGCAGAAGAGTGGGAAGCGGAGCAGTGGGATTGAGCCCATGGAAATTGGAGTGGGATTGAGCCCATGGAAGTTGGAGGAACAGTGGGATTGAGTCCATGAAAATTTGAAGAGTAGTGGGATTGGGTTCCTGGAAGTTGGAGGAGCAGTGGGATTGAGTCCATGGAAGTTGGAGGAGCAGTGGGATTGAGTCCATGGAAGTTGGAGTGGGATTGAGTCCATGAAAATTTGAAGAGTAGTGGAATTGGGTCCCTGGAAGTTGAAGGAGCAGTGGGATTGAGTGCATGGAAGTTGGAGGAGGAGCAGTGGGATTGAGTCCCTGGAAGTTGGAGGAGCAGTGGGATTGAGTCCATGGAAATTGGAGTGGGATTGAGCCCATGGAAGTTGGAGGAGGAGCAGTGGGATTGAGTCCCTGGAAGTTGGAGGAGGAGCAGTGGGGTTGAGTCCATGGAAGTTGGAGGAGCAGTGGGGTTGAGTCCATGGAAGTTGGAGGAGCAGTGGGATTGAGTCCATGGAAGTTGGAGTGGGATTGAGCCTATGGAAGTTGGATGAGGAGCAGTGGGATTGAGCCCATGGAAGGTGGAGTGGGATTGAGTTCATGGAAATTTGAAGAGTAGTGGAATTGAGTCCCTGGAAGTTGGAGGAGCAGTGGGATTGAGCCCATGGAAGTTGGAGTGGGATTGAGTCCATGGAAGTTGGAGAAGCAGTGGGATTGAGTCCATGGAAGTTGGAGTGGGATTGAGCCCATGGAAGTTGGAGTGGGATTGAGTCCATGAAAATTTGAAGAGTAGTGGGATTGGGTTCCTGGAAGTTGGAGGAGCAGTGGGATTGAGCCCATGGAAGTTGGAGTGGGATTGAGCCCATGGAAGTTGGAGGAGGAGCAGTGGGATTGAGCCCATGGAAATTTGAGGTGGCCACAGCAGGTCAAGCACAATTCCTGGGATGGGCTGATCCAGGTTATTGTGTGATNGATTCCATGATCTCCATCCATTTTTTCCTGCTGTCCTGATGAGGTGAAGCCTCATCCTCCGAGGGTGGGATGGGGAATCTACTCCTGAAGCAGCTCCAGGGATCCCTGGATCTGGATCAAAAGTCATTTGTTATTCCAAATGACTTTTGGGAATAACAACAGCAGCAAGGGACCTGTGACACTGGAAGAAATCCCTGTTCCAGCTTTTCATGGCACAGCCATTCCAGGTGCTCCTGCCTCAAGGATTTTGGCAGCCAGGAGGCTTGGAAGAATCTGTGGAATTGTTTGTTCCATGAAAGCCTTGGGGCTGGAGCAGAGAAGCACAGGCCAAGCTCGGAGGGGCCTGGTTTCCATCGGGAACACTCCGGGCATTCCGTGCATTCCCGGTGTGCCGGTGCCAAGGGCCTCCTCCCAAAAAAAGCTGGGATCCCTCCTGCTTCCCCAGCCAGGAGCCCTGGGCCTGAGGGAAACACGGATTTGGGATATTCCCCACCCAAACCAGGGAATGTGCCACCCCTGGCAGTGTCCATTGCTTCCCTCTGGAATGCTGCACTCCCCAAATCCTCCCAAGTCCTTTCCGGGAGGGAATTCCTGGCTGGGAGGGGCTGGGATGGAATTCCCAAAGAAGCTGTGGCTGCCCCTGGATCCCTGGAAGTGTCCAGGGATGGGGCTTGGAGCACCCTGGAATCATGGAAAGTGTCCCTGCCCATGGCCCTGATCCCAAGGGTCACTTCCACTCTGCAATTCCATGATTTACCTCAGGAACACATCCCAGTGTTCCCAGCCCTCCCACGGAGTGGCTCAGACTCCTGGCCAGGAGATTCCCAAGCTGGAGCAGGAATGGGATGCAGTGGGAAGCGTTGGATTTTCCATCCGTGCTCTGCTGACTTCCAAGGTTGGATTTTTGGTGCTTTCCATAAAAACCTGGTCCTCTGCTACCCAACCTTCCCAGCTTCTCCTGGAGCCTTAATCCCCATTAATCCCATCCTTGGTGGTTAATGAGCTTCACCTCCCTCGTTATCCCCGTGGGCTGAGCTTTTCCATGGATCCTGCAGCCTCCGGAGTGTCCTGGAGCTGGGATGAGCTCCTGCAAACCGGATTTTCCAGGGCTGTGGCTTTGGGAATTCCTCTTGAGGCTTGCAGGGTTTGGTTCCAGTGAGGAATCACTCCTGGGAATGAGGGTGCCCAATTATGGCCCAAATTAGATGGGAATGTCCTGGGATTGTGGCTCAGTCCTGACTCCTGAGCTTCCCTGGAGGAGAGGGAAACATGGAAAAGCTTCCAGGTGATGTTTGGGTCCCTCATTCCCTCAGCTCCACCATCCATTTATTCCAGAACCGGGATTTGCTCCCTGATTTTAGCACTTCCAGAAATGCTTGGATAACCACCTTGTATCCTAAATAATAATTTTTTTTTCTCCCTGTCTTTCCCTGTAATATTTTCTTCATTATTTTGGATCTTCCCTGGGGTCTCCATCCAGAGTATCCCAGATTTTAGACCCAAAATGTCGGAGCCAGGTGGGAATTGGGTTCTTCTCCCAGGGAGCAGGGACAGGACAGGAGGGAACAGCCTCAGGCTGTGCCAGGGGAGGCTGAGGTTGGATATTGGGAATATTCCTCATGGAATGGGCAATGGGAGTCCCCATTCCTGGTGGGATTTAAAACCCATGGACGGGGCACTTGGGGACACGGATCCCTGGTAGCCTTGGCTGGATTTGATGATCTTGGAGGCTTTTCCAGCCTCAACAATTCCATGATTCCAGCTGCCTGTGGCCCTGATTCCAACATTCCTGCTTTTCCTGAGTGCCCACTGGGCTATCCCAGACTTTTCTCATTTTTCTTCCCACTTTTCCCAGGGAGATCAAGCTGCGGAATTACGATCCCGAGGATGAGGAGCTGAAGAAGAGGAAGCTGCCCCCGGCCAAACCTGCCTCAGGTGGGAGAAACCGGGAATGTGGGAAGGGAAACCAGGCCTTGGGAAGCTCCGTGCCCTTCCCAAGGTGGGAGATCCACTGGGATGAGGTGTCCATGGAGGGGCTGGAATATCTGATCCTGTCACCCTCACGCCCAGCATTGCACAAGAGGGGTGGGAACACTCCCAGGCCCAAATCCGAGGATTCATCCTCAGAGGAGCCTCCCGGAAATTCCGGCTGCTTTTTGCTGGATTTATCTTGAAGGAAATCTCAGGCAGGAGTTGAGAGCGTTGGGCTGGAATTTCCTCACCCGGAACTTCCATAAATCACCTGAGGGGGAAGTGAAGGAGTTCCCCGGATCCTGAAATGTGGAGTTTGCCTGGAATAAATCCCTTGAAAAATGCCCTGAATAAAAAGGGAGGGCTGGGAATGGCTGGGAATTCTGGCACTGCCCTTTCCTTGTATTTTTGTAGGAGCTTAAAACTTCCATGTGAAAGGGAAGTCATGGGAAGGCTGGAGCGTGTCCAGGGAAGGGAGTGGAGCTGGGGAATTCCTGAGGGAGCTGGGAATGTTATCCCGGAGAAAAGGAGGCTCTGGAGGCTGCACAATTCCCTGGCTGGAGCCCAGGAGGAATTGGGATCCACTCCCAGGGAACAGGGACAAGGAGAAGGGGAATAACCAGGTTGGGTATTGGAAAAACCAGTTATCCCGCAGTGGTGGAGCCCCATTCCTGGAGGGATTGAAATCCCTGTGGATGTGGCACTTGGGGACATGGGCAGTGCTGGGAATGTTTGGACTCAATCCAGGAGGGCTTTTCCAACTGAAATTGTCCTTTTTTCCATGAAATCCATGTGCTGGAGTGGGATGTGCTCCCTGGTGCTGCAGGGTGGCTTTTTCCATGAGGGTTTTCCCGTTATCCTGGATATCTCCAGAGCTTTCCCCAAGGCCTGGGCTGGAGCTTGACTCCTCCAAAGTGTGCCAGACCTGGAAATAAGTCAGGGAGAGGAAAATTTCCTTTGGAGCAGCTGATCCCTGCAGATGTTGGGAGAAAAGGCCTTGATCCCAACTGGCTTCCGGCTGCCATTCCTGTTTGTGGGATTTCCATCCTTCCCAGATAATTTCCAGGATGGTTGGGATACCAAAGGGATGTACTCAGGTGTGGGCACCATGTTTTCAAGTAAAGCTGTGGGAATGGGGTTTTAGGGAAGCTTTTGGGAGCCGAGCCTGGAGCGCTGGTGGAATTCCTGGTTTTCCATCACTGATCCTGTTTCCCCATCTAGTGGAGGACACGGTGAAGGAGCAGCTGGAAGCGGCCAAGCCGGAGCCAATCATCGATGAGGTGGTAGGTAAAGCTGGAATTCCTGGGAATCCAGACTGGGAAATCTGGATCAGGGAATCTGGAGCTGGAAATCCGTATTGGGAAATCTGGATCAGGGAATCTGGAGCTGGAAATCCGTATTGGGAAATCCAGAACTGGAAATCTGGATCTGTGAATCTGAATCTGGGAATCCAGATCAGGGAAATCCAGATTGGGAAATTTGGATCTGGGAATCCAGATCAGGGAAATCTGGATTGGNTCAGAATTCTGCTGGGCCAGAATTCCCTGTGGGAATTCTCTGTGCCTTCTCCTGCTTCCAGCATGGGATGCTCTGGTGGGAAGGACCTTCAAGCTCATCCCATTCCTAGGACAGGGAATTCCAAGAAACTCTTTGGGTTTTAATGGAGAATTCCTGGTTTTCCAAGGATGGAAAAATGAAGGCAGGAAGAGAAGGGTAGGAAAGGAAAAATTGTGGGAAAAATGATGGGAAAGAAATTTTTCCAACTGGGTGGATCCAGTGTTATTCCAGAGGGATGAAGGACAGCACCAAGCTCCTGGAAAAAAGCTGGGACATAGAGGGAAACTTTGAAAGTTACTGGGAGAGCTCAGCCATTGTGAGCCCTTGGGGAGAAATTTGAGAATTCTGTTGGATTGTGGGAAAGGTTTGGGGTGAAATTCCTCTTTTATTAAACCTTGGAGAATCCCAAATTTCTTTTGGGAAGGAGCCTTAAAGCTCATTCAGTTCTGTGGGCTGGGAATTCCAAGCAGCTCTTTGGGTTTTAATGGAGAATTCCTGGTTTTCCAAGGATGGGAAGCTGAGAGTGGGAAAGGAAAAATGGTGGGAAAAAAGGGTGGAAAATAATTTTTTTCAACTGGGTGGATCCAGTGTCATTCCAGAGGGATGGACAGCTCCAAGCTCCTGGAAAGGGGCTGGGATAAAGAGGGAAACTTTTCCCACCTTACTGGAAAATTCTGGCAGAGCTCAACCATTCCCAGCCTCATGGGAGAAATTTGGGAATTCTGTGATGTTGTGGAAAAGGTCTGGATCAAAATTCTTGCATTATTAAACCTTGGAGAATCCTAAAATCCTGGATTTCTTTTCGGGGAAGAGCCTTAAAGCTCATCCAGTTCTGTGGGCAGAGAATTCCAAGCAGCTCTTTGGGTTTTAATGGAGAATTCCTGGTTTTCCGAGGATGGAAAGCTGAGGGTGGGAAAGGAAAAATGGTGGGAAAAAAATGGTGGAAAATAAATTTTTTCAACTGGGTGGATCCAGTGCCATTCCAGAGGGATGGACAGCTCCAAGCTTCTGGAAAAGAGCTGGGATATAGAGGGAAACTTTGGGAGATTCTGGGAGAGCTCAGCCATTCCCAGCCCTCAGGGGAAAATGTGGGAATTCTGATGTGGAAAATAGTCGGATTGAAATTCCTGCTTTATTAAACCTTGGAGAATCCTGAATCCCAGATTTCTATTGAGACAGAGCCTTAAAGCTCATCCCATTCCTAGGACAGGCAATTCCAAGCAGCTCTTTGGGTTTTAATGGAGAATTCCTGGTTTTCCAAGGATGGCAAGCTGAGGGCAGGAAAAAAAAGTTGGGAAAGGAAAAACAGTGGGAAATTTTTCCAACTGGGTGGATCCAGTGTCATTCCAGAGGGATGGACAGCTCCAAGCTTCTGGAAAGGAGCTGGGATAAAGAGGGAAACTTTGGGAGATTCTGGGAGAGCTCAGCCATTCCCAGTTGTCAGAGGAGAAATTTGGGAATTCTGTTGTAATGTAGAAAAGGTTTGGATTGAAATTCCTGCTTTATTAAACATTAGGGAATCCAGAATCCTGGATTTCTTTTGGGAAGGGGCCTTAAAGCTCATCCAGTTCTGTGGGCAGGGAATTCCAAGCAGCTCTTTGGGTTTTAATGGAGAATTTTTGGTTTTCCAAGGATGGGAAGCTGAGGGCAGGAAGAAAAGGTTGGGAAGGGAAAAACTGGGGGGAAATTTTTCCAACTGGGTGGATCCAGTGTCATTCCAGAGGGATGGACAGCTCCAAGCTCCTGGAAAAGATCTGGGATATAGAGGGAAACTTTTCCCACCTTGCTGGAAAATTCTGGCAGAGCTCAGCCATTCCCAGCCCTTGGGGAGAAAATTGGGAATTCTGATACAGAAAAGGTTTGGGTTGAAATTCCTGCTTTATTAAACCTTGGAGAATCCCAGNATCCAGTGGCAGATCCAGCCAAAATCCTTCCCCTGCCTCCAAATGATTTCCTGGAAAATCCAAGGAAGTTGCAGGTGGAGAGGGAAAGTGTGGAGTGGGGAAATTCCATCCATCCTCAAAAATCATGGAATTCTTTGGGATTCTCCCTTTTCTGGGGGAAATCTTCACTTCCCGACGGATTTCCCTGTTTTCCCCACCCTTCCCATCTCCTCGAGCAAAATCTGCTCCATGGGAAAGGTTGAAACCCAAAATTTGCCCGGAATAATTCCCAACTTTTGATGTTATTTTGCTTTTCTTGTGGAATGTCTGCTTTTCCCATGGGAATTGGATCTGGAAGAGCCCGTCCCTTAATTCCTCCATGGATTTGGGTTTCCCAAGAATCTCCCTATGGAAAAGGGAACTTTCCCTGGGGAAAATCTGCTGGAATTTCACCTGGATTTGGGAAATGAGGAATCCTGGTAGCTGGAATCTCCTTTCCCTCCAAAGCACTTCCAGGAGCTGGGTTGGATTTTCCAGGCAGAAGGAATTCTGTGGGATAGGGAATGTGGTGGTTCAGGGAATAATCCCGTGGTTTGTGGAGCAGAATTCCAGGATTTTCTCTCCTGGCCTGCTTCACTTCAGCTCCATCCCAGCCTATCCAGGGATGGAATTCCAGGTTGGATTGGCTTGGAATCCTTGCTGGATCCCTGGGATCCTGAGGATTCTCCACAGGCTCTGGCTCAATCCCAGGAATGGCTGGAGAAGGAAAACTCCAGGAGAAGGAGCTGCAGGTCCCTGCCAGGACATGGAGTCATCCCAAGGATTCTTTTTTCCGGCTTTTGCCTTTAGTTATGAATGGATTTTTGGGAATTCCCTCTCAGCCACTTGGGATAATGGGGAAATCCCATCAAATTCCATCCCTGGAAGTGTCCAAGGCCGGGACAGTGGAAGTGTCCCTGCCCATGGAATGGGATCGTCCTTCCAAGCAATCCATTCTGGAATTCTGGGATTCTCCCACCCCTTCTCCACACGTTTCCCTCTGCTCATTTTTCCAGGAAATCCCTGGCAGATCCCACCTGCTCTGGGCATCCCAATGCTGCCGGGAAAGCTGGAACAGGGAAAATCCTGGAATGGTTTGGGTGGGAAAGGACCCAAAGGATGATCCCATTCCATGGGCAGGGACAGCTCCCACTGTCCCAGCCTGGCTTTGGGCACTTCCAGGGATGGAGATTCCCAACTTTTCTGTTCCAGTGGCTGCAGGAAGGACAAGATCCTCTCAGCTCTGGTTTTCCCAACNGAGCTGCAGCAGGGAATTCCAGAGGGCTCTTCCCAGTTTTATTGAATTTATGGAGCAGGGAATTCCTGGGAGTGTCCCAAGGTTTTAATGGATTTAAAACAGGGAATGAAAACAGAATTAAATTGGGATTTTAGGGATGATTATTGTCGGTTTTCCCTTGAGAAAAAAGGGGAATATTTTCCTTGTCCCCAGAGCAGGAGCTGAACCTGAACAATTCCAGCCCTGGCTCCCTTCCCTGTTTGCTGGGAATGTAATTTTTAACCCGGATTGTGGAGGAATTTGGAAGAAGAGGGATCCAGGGAATGAGTCAGCACTTTGGGAAACATTCCCAGGCCTGGAGGAGCTCCTGGGTAATATCAGGATCCTGGAGCTGGTGCTGGGAGAGGGACTGGGATAAGGGATGGGAGCCAGGGAATGGATCCCAGCGCCAGAGGGCAGGGAGAGGGGGGATGTTGGGAATTCCCAGGGAATTCCATGGCTGCTCATCCCTGGAAGTGTCCAACTTGGAGCAGCAGGGATTGTGGGAATTCCCTGCCCATGGAATGGGATCATCTTTAGGATCCCTTCCCATCCAGGCATTTAGGGAAAATTGGGAATTCAGCTCTGGGAATGGACAGAGCTAAAATCTCCTCATTCCCAATCATTTTCCATGGAAATAAAAAGTCAGGATCAGTGGAGCAGAGCAGTGTTTGCTGTGTCCATTCCTGGGAAATCCAGAGCTGCTCCTGCTGTTTTTTGGGAAGTTGGGATCTTCATTTCCTTGTTTCTGGTGCTGTTTGGGGTCGGTCTGAACTGGGAATTCCACCAGGATTCCAGAATTCCATGGCTGCTCCTTCCCAGCACCATTCCATCCCTGTTCCTGCTGGATAGTGCATGGAAGTGGGAATTCCTGCTTTTCCTGGGATCTGCTGCTGCCCATGGAGCCTCTTTCCCTATTCCAGAAAAACTGGATTTTGCTCCAACGTTTTCCTGGGGCTGGAATTCCTTTGTTGTGCTGCTCCCTGTGGGATTCCATGTTTTCCATCCCAAATAATGAATTAGAGAAAAAAAAAATCCTAGTCTGTGAATTCCCACATTTTTATGGCTTCTCATCACTCATTCCCAAATCCTGTCTTATCCCAGAAATATCCCAAAAAATATCCCAAAAAATATCCCAAAAAATATCCCAGAAATATCCC